AGAGGAGTGAGAGGAGAAAAGTAAAAGATGCCAGAGAGGTAGTAAGGAAGTGGGTTGCACTGGGTGGTGAAGGCCATGGTAAGCTCACTCTGTGAGACATTAGAAAACACTGGAAAATGATGGTATTAGCCTTATGTTTTAAATCAACCAGTCTGCTGCTGTATGGAGGTAATTCCGTGTAGGGAAACTGCAGAAGCCAGCTGGGGAGATACGGCTGTAGACAAGGGAAAACATGGTGACATGACCAATGTGGTAGCAGAGGAAGTGGCAAGAAGTAGTCGAATTCTGGATGTATTTTAAAGAATGATCCATGATTATTTTCAAATGGATTGGATGTGGGTTGTTAATGGAAGAGAGGAATCAAGATGACTAGACCTAATGTTCGGGCAGTTAGTGTTTAGTAAATGTGCTTGGTTAAATACTCTCCCAGCAAATTCCCAATTGGGCACTGGTGTGAAGCTTCTTTTACTTACGACTAAAGCAGCACCTTCCCTGGAACACTGAAGGTGAAATACTGGAGCACGTTATCTTCCAAACGACTGGGATTCATTAAAACCCACATTCTTCTTGATATGAAACACAGAATACATGACATCTCTTTTATTTCATTACTTGCAACTAGAAAAGAAAAAGGTAAAAAGAGCTAATTTTCTCAGTGATATTTGTATCAGAAGAGAGTTTATTTAAAAAATTTTCTCCTTTGGTAATTCATTAATGCTTCTAATAATCCTTGAATATGCAGAGATATTTGAAACACTTTAATCACTAATAATAGAGCCAAAAGTAAAAAATGCTCAGATAAAAGCCAAAAGGTAGACCTGCCATTTTCAGAGCTTACTGCCCATCATTTTGGATCAAGTTTCTGCATTTTTAAATAACTACCATTAACAACAATAATCATTCTGCTGTTTCATGTGCTTAATATAAAATTTTGCCTTATTACTCTTAAAATTGAGGTTAATAAACAGTCTGTATCTAATAACTTCTGTCATGTAATAAGAGCAATGTAACCTATCGCATCTTCATGTATAAGTTTTGCTCAAAATCTGTAGTGCCCACTAGGTTAGAAATTTTGAATTGTTTTAACACTCTCCTCTTTATTTAGCTCTTATCTCTCTTCCCTGTTTCTAAAGGTTGTGTTCCATATCTGTATTTTATTGTAAACCACATCAAATCCTTTCTGGATAGATACTGTATGAATACTAAATGAATATAAATACATGAGCTGACTCTTAAATGCCCAATTTGTACTCCATATTCTTTACCTTGGCTTCCATTTAAGCTCTGATCATTGTGCAGAAATGTTTGTCAATGATCCCCAAATTCAAGGGCAAGTTTATCACTCTAGAACCTCATCTAATTGGCCATAGTACACAGGATTTCATATCCAACCCAATAAAAACACATGATGACCCACTGCAAGCTATGTTTTCATCTGATTCCACAATTGTGATTTTAAAATGTGTTATCTTTCCTATTAACTGTTATGGTAGCTTGGGACAGAAAGTCATTTAAGAGGCAACTAAACTTGGCAAGAGAAATTCTAGAAGGACCTTGCTTCTAACGGAGGACAAAAATCTGCTGAGGAAGTTGTATGTAAAGACAAACCAGCTTTTATCTGGGAGTTCATATTTCACAGAAGGGAAAAATCATTCTGAAAACACAGGGGAAAAAAAAATGGTATATACCAGAGCTTCAGGGTTGTAGATGAAAAAGGTACTTGTTTAGAAACTGTGACAATTTTTGGTGGAATATTTTATTAATGGATAAGGCTCTCAATAAACACATGCTCCACATCTTCAAAGTATTAGGAATAGATGAAGTAAGAGAAACTGTACACAAGCTGAAAATGTCTTGTTTTGGCATTTGTGGATGAGGCTGACGAGAAATTCCAATGTATTACCCTGCAAAGTGAACTCAAAACAGAGAATAAAGGTGAGCGTGCACAGACACACACACACACGCACGTGCACACATGAATATCAATGTGACTCTGCGGCCTAGATTTCAAGGGGAAAAAAACAGACATTCATCAGGATGATTCTATGGTCTAAAAGTAGCAGAGGAGTCTCTGAACTATCCATGTTTCACCACTTGGCACATCTGAGGGAGAGCTCCCGTATACATTGATGCATTATCCTTATCGTTGTAATTGATGCCCGACACTTCTCTACCCGTCAGATGCAGTTTTGAATGGAAGGGACATTCATCTTCACGTAAGATGATCATCACTTTGAAACCTTAAGTGATCTCAAATTTCCTAGCAGCTTAAATCATAATACTGCAGGGGAAAAAGAATACATAGTGCTACTGATTCGTTTCCTGACTGCCAAAAGATAAAATCTCACATACCTGAGCGCATGGTGAGTTCTTGCTTCGTGAGTTCCAATACTATTTCCCAGTACAAGAAGGAAGAGAAGAAAGATCGCTCTGCCAGGATTTTATGAGGTGACTAGGCCCCCCCTTTTCCTGGGGTGAGTGGGGTTTTTTGCTACTATCCAGATAATCAGAGGGACCAGCACAGGAAGACTTCTAAATTTCTCCCCAAACGGTGTTCTAGAACATTAGTGTGACTCATTGTAGCTTTTACAGAGCTTGAATTTCCAAATGAAAAGCATTACAGGAGGCGGCTTCCTTTCTTACATCAACGTAATTCTTTTCACAATGAGTTCTTTAATGCATAAACAAGTATTACAGGACAGCCATGTCATGGCGGAGCCCTAACCTGTATCAGGAAGACTGGACAGGCTTTAAAAAATCTGATCACGTGAAAAACCTCCAGGAAACACAGTAAAACCAGGTCCCAGGGGCTCCAGATTTATTTAAAGGGAAAATAATACCAGACAAAACACAGACTAAATAATAATACTGCTGTGAATAACTATTCAATGAAACAGACAACATGAATATGTTCTATAAAAATATAAAATTCCAAAATTGGCATGATAAGAAATAAAGCACTTAAATAGACCCCCAACCACCACAAAAACATAGAAAGTGAAATAACCAGAGAATTCCCCACTGAAGTTTCTTAAGCTAAGCAATTACAAACAAGTTTCTCCCTCTAATTGTACTGACGTAAAAAACAAAATCTACTCTACAAAGTGACAGAAGCAAGTTGCAGAAATATATTCATAGTATAATGCTATTTTAAAAATGTATCTGTACACATACTTACATGTTCTTAGGGAAACAGTCTGGAAAATTACACAGAAAACTGTTAAAAGTGCTTTCCTCTGGGGCGCCAGTTAAAGTAGGCATTAGTTCAACCTTACATACTTTATGCTGTTTCAAATTCTTACAAGTACATATTACTTTTATTAAAAAAAATTTCTGGATAAAGACAAAACTTGATGGAAAGCATGGTCAAAATTCAGAACACTGAAAATAATCAGAAGAATGTAGGGTTTTTCCCGACACCAATGAAAGCTTCCAGCGTGCAGAAGAGAATTGGCTGGACCGAGAGTCACAATTAGTGACACACACATGCTCTGACTTTGGAATCAGAACGGCAGGCAGCTGGGAGGCGGGCGGGGGGAAGACTGGCCCATTCCTGTGTGTGCAAGCAGCTCGGCAACACCAACTGTGCTGATATGAAAACCGGGCAGCCAGCATGGTGTGGAGACTGCTCTCCCAGGTAGTCACGGATGTGTTCCGCTTCTTTCAGCCCATCAACACCACTTTCTCTACTCATTTAGAAACAACGTCCAATGTGCAATATAACCAGGCAGAAGTCGTAAGAGAGTCATAAAGAAGTCTAAAAAGAATTGGGGACAGTGAGGGTGGCCACTGAAAGAGCCCACGATTTTTCATTATCTAAAGAATGGACTGTCTTCAATTTTCTAAGACGGGCCCTCTCTTTCCTACACAGAACAGTGCCGGGGCTACGAGAGACAATCCAGGAGTGTCTAAAACAAGGGCTGCTGCAGAGTCTAGAAACTGAGGAAGAGGCTGTACACAAACTATGTTCTTACATTTAAGTAATTTTGTATCTGACAAGAAGATTCACACAGACAACAAAGGGGACAAGGCTCAAATCTGGGCACAATGAACTACTGTCCAGTGTCGCTCCAGAAATAAAATTCCCTTGAAACTTGGGGTTCCCGATTAGGGAAAAGCCTTTCTTATCAGAAAAATGGGTTCTTCTGAAACTGAAA